TTCTCATGTTGGTTTATTTTCTTTTTTCGCTTTTCAGACTGACTGAAAATTCATCTGCTATTTTTGTAAATTAGTTGCTCTTGTTTTTGGGTTCTTGTACTTAGTTATGGCAGGAATGTCCTAAAGACTTGCTGCTACTACTCTTTTTTGACATTTTTATTAATGAGTTTATTTATAACAGTATATTGATATTAATTTTGCTAAAAATAACGTCGTGCTCTATTCAGAACGATAAGTCTTCTGATCAAAACACATCCTATCTAAATTGTAAATAATCTTTTGTAAATAGGTCACGATTTATTGTGCAAACAGATTCTCATCCTTACAGATATGATTATAATTTGTAAGAATATTTCTTCAAGATTACAGTTTTCATGAAGCCACTGTGAAAGTAACATACTACTACTACTACTAATAATAATAATTATAATCCTTTTCCTCATATATTCTGAGAAGTGTGAGATTTGAAATGATGTGACACGTCACGGCAGGTGTTTAACAGTCTTCTAGCTTTGTCTTGATCCACACTGATGTGCTGATAGAAAATCATCTGCAAATAAAACTGACACAAGCATATATCACTACTGTGCATAACTGGAGACGCTGATGGTGGAGAAACACAGTCCAAGGAGGCTAGGACACAATCAGTGTGGCTTCAATTTATTCTCCTCAGAACTTAAGCTGACAGAAATTATCAATTGTAATACTCCTGTATGGACGTTTGTTTCGAAGTCATTATGCTCTGGTTTGAGAGTATGAAGTAAAAAAAAGAAAACACCTTTCAAAACTTTTTGCCGAAAAATCCTTGTATCTGTTGGTTTCTTTTCTCATCTTTGAACGCTGGTATTGAGATTATTATGTTGTGGCTTCAGACTATGCAGTTTACTTTTAAGTATTCATGAAAAAAAACCGGTTATATAAGTGTTAACGAAAACACCTGTAATTTAAGTATTAATAAACTTTGTTGTTGTAAAGTATGCGATGATCACTGATGTGTTCATGGGAATTGCGTTAGTTTTGCTTCACCTCTCTTTGTGATTGGTCCGGAAAACTCTCGCCAACTTTTCAATTTATCAGACGATGTATGCACTAGACTCCGCGTCGAGAGGCCTGGGTTCGAGACCTGGCCGGGACAATACGTTAAGTTCGTGGGCAAGACACTTAAATTCTCACAGTGCCTCTTAAGGGCACAGTTAATTTGGAGCCTCGCTCTATTGTGTGTCCCGCGCTAAAACTAAAACTAGTCGCCGCCTGGTCGCTCGCGGTTCTAATCAAAGGAAACATTTGAAGTAATTTATCTATGTAATATTTGTTTCGGAACCAATCTCATTGAAGGCATTTTGTTTCTGAAAATACAGACTCATAAACTTACAAAACATTCATAATCACCCGTCTATTTCCTTTAAAGTACCTAAAGAGACTTTTCAGTCGCAGGGAAAACAGAATAATGATTAAATGAAGAAAAAAGAGCAAAAGAAAATCAATTACACATCTTACAATTAATACCATGGCGCCACTCAACGTATGAAAGAAGCAAAATCTCGAAGCAGTAAGATTTAAATCATTGTCACAATTTTGTTTTAAAAACATTCACAGAACTTAAAAAATTGCATCATAGGAGGAAGTAAACTTTGTCAACATATTCCCCGTCGTGCATTCTCGTTGCTCTTGGAGTTGGCATGCGTTATGCGTACCTCAAAAAATGCTGTAAATCCTCGAGCTCAAAACCCTTGTTAGGCTTCTTTTAAAAGTCTTGAAATCGAGTCTCGCCTCGGGACTTTTACTTGTAGTTCTTACTGTCGAAGCCCTCGTTATCAGTGGTTTTTGCATTACTTCTGGGGGAAACTCTTTACCTCTGGTTTTGATACAGCAAATGGATTTCTGCCCAACCAGAGCGTTCTTTTTCAAGCGCATACATGCTTTTGAAATGAAATTTTTTTTATTTTGAAGGGTGGAAATAAATCATGTGTTCATGTGTCTAATGAACAAGGAATTTTAACATTTCAAAGTGTTTAGATTTCGAATTATTGTATTGGAAATTCCTCAGACTGCCAAATTGGAATTTTGCCTCCTTGTCAAATTTTGGCCGTCGTAATTTTCCTTTGTTTTTATCCAATTATTGCCAATTTGGACATCATAGTTCTGTCTTAAAAACTAAAAAAATAATTAAAAAACGCACTGAGTGCATTGTTGAGTTAAAGAAGCACGCAGATCCATTAAGAACAGGAGAGAAGTGATTAACAAGCACAAGCTGTCAGGCGCAATGCTTCCCGCACTTCGTCGCTATATTTTAAAACACTAGCTAATTAGCGTATATAGACTATGTTTATTTTATTTCTCAGTAAAGTAGGGACTGTTCGATCGTATTGACAACAAAGAGTCAACATTGATTATGATAACTCGCGATCAAACAATGGACTGGCACAAACGGTAAAAGTTACACGATCCGAAACCCTAAGAGGGTTTGGGAATTTTTGTTTTCAACGTGGTGCGACTTTCCTTTTCAAAGTTATCTTCAGTTTTATTAGTTTCATGTTACATGAGATTAGCTACCACCTCTAAGGTCAGTAAACAGTTTTCTCGTCAGCGACGATGACAACTTGTCCTCTAGGCAGTCGAAGCAGTACAAAATTTGCTTTGATGACCTTATGCAAATTTTCGGTGGGCAGCTAATCACTTCGTGGCAAAACAAGCAGATTTTGCTTACATTTTGTAACTTAAATAAATAACTATATCTACATTTCGTAAATACCCACTTAGCGGAAAATCTCAGAGAAACAAACACAGTAGACTTGGGTGGATTTCTTATTCAACAACAATCTCTCAACAAGAAGATTGTATTTGAAGCTTCAGACATTCAGTTGTTCTTAGTTTTAACGCACGATGGCGTGACAGTAAAAGCTCTTACTAAGGGAGCAAGGGAGGGGAGGAAACTTGCGAGGAAGAAGTGTTACCTGCCCTCCCCTCTCTCGCAATAGAAAGAATAAGAAAGCAGGCCAACATTTTATGATTTATCCCGAAGCCTTCTTGCATCACCATGGTATTTCACCTGTTCACAGTTTAAAAAACTAAACTGCAACTGCTCTACATCTGTGAACAAGGCAACTCAATTTCCTATGTAATGCTTTTGGTTTTCATACTGTTGGCAATATATCGTTACGCAGATATTTCACATGTTCTATTACACCTCTTTCATTTTTCTGCTTGAACTCAGATCTTACAAGCAATCATGTCGGTTCCAAAGACACCTTCTCTCTCCTTCAAAGGACTTTGAATGTCTAATTTCAGCATTTTTGAATAGTCTGAATAAAAGCAAATCAGTAAAAGAAGCTATGACCAAGCATGAAAAAAGAATGTCTTTCCACCGCGGTCGGTGATCATTACAATCACTTCTTTCTCAAGAGTGTAAGTCATGAGAAGATTTGACTGTGAATGAGAAAAAAAAAAATACGAGATTATGCTTAGGTAAGCATGAAAAAATATTCAAAAAGGTAGACTACGAACATTGAATACAGAAAGTAAATTTATTACAAAGTACTCAGCATTTATAGTTTAACTCAAACCTTTTTGAGTAAGAAATGTTCTTTCTCTCTATCCAGAATCAATAAAAGACCTCTGGTTTTTGATGGTAGTCTTCTATGGTTCTGTTTGCGAAGGAAATAAATTGCAGAGAAAGATAGACTCTGTTTACCGGCTTTCATTTCAAACAGTTTTGATGTTACTTTATAGCCTTCGCACACAACTTAAATTCAACCTAAAGAATCTCCATTGTAGTTGCACAAGAAAGAAAAAGTAAAAAACAGAACCGGGCGAGACGATCGTTTTTGTTTTGTTGACAGGCATCTGGAAAGTGTCATGGGAAATGACAAAGCCATGTTTTGTGTACAAAACCGGTAAACTATCCTCATTAATTCCTTCTTATTCTCTCCTTGTCACGGCTTATTCCTGGCGGTTCTGCGCAAAAGTATTTTTATAACATTAAGTAGACACATTCAAGTTCAACGAAAAAACCAGTTTGAGGCAAATCCAATCAAAGGAAAAGGATCACATAAAGGACATTTTATTCATCAAAATTAATGACTCTTATACTGATTCATTATTCACAAACTTGTCTTAACGAGAAGCTCATTTATTAAACAAAATAAAGTTGAGTGATTTCGCATTTAGGCAAGTACTAAATATTTAAAAGAAAGCCGCCGTCTCTGCGAACATTCAATTTTCATGTTGAATAATTCTTTACTCTCTTTCTATGCAACTGTTAAAAACGATATTTAAATGGAACCTAATCCATTTTGTCCTCTCAGCGCTCCAACGATATTCATTGTTATGTGGCACACCAAACAAAGGCGAAAACTTGATAGAATTGAAATGGCCGGAGATATCTTTTATGTCTGGTTAAGTCTCTAAAAATCCTATGGTCACGAACATAGTCACCAGAAATGATTTTGTCAGCAACATTTTGTTCTTCCTTGAACATCTGAAATTAAAGTTCTGTAAAACTCCCCGGTAAACAGTGATTATACTTACTAAACCCTTGCCAAAGTTTCAAATAATAAAGCAGACACATGACTGGAAATGGAAAAGGTATCTCTGATTTCATTTCATCGATGTTTAAGGTTCCAGTTTTAACTACATTTTCTTATTTTCTTTGGTTTTCATTGTTGACAAGCTGTTAAAACGAATATTTTTCTTTTGCTTTGCAGTTACCTTAATTCCTTTGTTTTGAAAATTTCATAACAAGTGTCGAGTTGCCTTTAAAGGTGAGTGGATCACTTGGTTAGATTCAGGGAACATGTCTGATGCTTTACATCGATTTTGATCTAAAAATCATCAAAGATTTATATTGGTTCTCCACTAACTTGAAAAATGTTACAGCACTAACCAACAAGTGCTTTTTCCTTGATGTAAGTATTATACAAAGTGACGATAATGTGTTTCGCTCCAACGAATGATTTCGGATTCCGAGAAAATATTATTTTCCACCAATACAAAAATGCTGGCCTCAAACCAATCACTTCATTCAAACAAAGACGTCCACTTCTCCAGTTCTGATAAAACTTAAAATGCAACTTGAAATGTTTACAAATCTCATCCAAAGAACGCAAAAATTGAATACCATTTTCAAATTAAAGTGACTTCTGATTTCGGGAGAGAAGTAGCATACAGTGAACGAGCACAAGCTCAATATCGTTCATTTTTTTTTCTGGTGATGTGAAAGTATTCTGTTCGTTTTCATTTGGTCAAAAGTTACCCTTTCTTTTAGCCTTTGTTTCATGTTTATCCACAGCTCATCAGCTTACAATAATGAACCTTTCATCGGCAATCATGTTAATTTTACTGATTCTACCGCTGATCACCTTGTGTAATGGCACCAGTAACAAGAGCAGCAAACCAGTCGACATCAGAGTAAGTCCCACATGTTTAGCAGTTTTGGGAGAGCGGATAGCTGTTCCCTCGCTTTTCCTTATAGCGTATTGATTTCGTAAGTGATTGAAGGTTTCGCAGGGATCATACTTATTTTTCAGAAATCATAAGAGCTTTAATTGCAAGACAAACAGTGTAAAATTGTAAAATCCTGACCTTTTTAGTAGAGCAGTCCGCTTAGATATTTGGCTTAGACATTTGGCTTTTGTTATTGTTTCCGTCACAGCCTGCCTCACAATGCTGTTGCGGACAATCAGGGACAAATGGTATCCCTGGGATGCATGGTATGGCAGGACCTCCTGGGGCACCTGGCCGTGATGGACGTGACGGAACCAAAGGAAAATCGGGCAGTCCTGGAAACTCTGGGCCCCAAGGACCTCCTGGCCCTCAAGGAAGTAAAGGTTCAAAAGGAAAGCCTGGTGTCCAAGGCCCTAAAGGCCAAAAAGGACAGCGAGGAGAGAAAGGCGAGAGTGGAAATCCAGGGGCGACTCAGCTTTCCTCACATATGAACTGGAAAGAATGTACATGGAAGAGAGGCGACGGCAAAGACTCGGGAGTAATCCAAGTAAGAGTAACTAAACAGATAATGATCTTCGTAGTTATTTGTCTTAAGCATCAAGAGCTATTGACAACGAAAAAAGCAGCATTTTCTCAAGAAAAAAAAATATTAAACCCAGTAATTTATCAATGGATTTGTGACAATTTTATTCCTAATCACTGAAGGGTATCAGTAAAAGCCTTGAAGATGATTTTTGAGTTTGAATGTAGGTCTCCCATTTTTGTGGCGAAAGCCCCCCCGGTGCAAGACAAACAAATTCTTGGATATTGCAACAATATTTACTAATCACAATTCCCCCCCCTGCGCAGAACTGCGAGTTCATGAAGAACTTCACAGACACTTCCCTCCATGTCTCCCCCCCTGGTAGCCTCAGGATTAATGGATGTGACGGTTGCTGTAGCCGTTGGTATTTCACCCCCCCCGGCGCCGAGTGCAGCTCTCCTGGCCCGATTGAAGGCGCGTTCTTCATGCGAACCCCCCCCCACCACGATCTTCATCGCCACCGCCATATTGAAGGTCACTGTAGCAACATTCACACCCCCCCGGTGCAAGTGGGATTCTGGGTTGGAAAGTGTGTCTCTGTCCAAAAGAATGCTGACCCCCCCACCGGCTGGCATTCAATGTCCCGGATCTTCATCGAAGAGGTGCCAAAGGCTCAGCCCCCCCCACGTCACACGTGATATATTGGACTTTTCGGGAAAATGAAGGAAAACAATCTTACCCCCCCTAGAATGCCATGCCTGTGAAAGATTTAAAACTTTAGAAATAAAGTCCTGGAAAGTATTCAGATATCTGTTATATATCAACTGCATTAATTTCCACTAAGAAAGTGGTGAGGCAAATCAAACTGCACATCCTTTGTTATCATTGAACTAAGAGAACAGAATGCACCATATGTTGGACATATTTCCTTGTTCATTTGGTATACATGTGACAGTTTTGCTGACCAAGCCAGTGTAAAAGTAGACATATTCGTACTCTTAAATGTAAAGTAAATGCTTTTGATGAATAACCACATACAAAATACCACTACATTTCCCAAATTTTTAATGGCTTTTTCCATCAAAGTTAGGCTTGCGCCATGGAACTGGACTGCAGGAACGATTTGATATCAATTTCCAGGGGGCGTTCACGCTTCAATTACCTTCTCAGCGATTTCAGATAAGCTGGAAAAATGTCGTTTTATAATATACAAAGCAGTTACTTTGAAAAGTACCACCAAATGCGGTGATAAGTGGACTTAAGAGAGAAGCGGTTTGTGACAGATTGTGTGTTATGCACGCTTCGGACATGAGACGTCAATCTGGGAAACAAGGTTTCAAAAGGATTCCCCCCCCAGTTTTATTTGAGATTTATCTTCTCAAATCACACACATTTCAAAGTACTGCAAGTACAATTGTAATATCTTATCACCAGTCACAAAAACTTTTCACAGTGTTACATTTTACATTGCCCCCCCCCTCTTTTAATGTTGTTCATGTTCTTGTTCTTGTTCTTCTCCCCTTTTTTAATCCCCCCCCAATTTTACATGTCAGATTGTCAGCAAGGGAAATATCACCGAGTATTTGCTAGTTCCCCCCCTGCATATTTGGTCACGTGGTGCATTTAGACCTACCACGCGAGGAAAAAATTGTTCCCCCCCTTGATGATTACAGGCATTTTGAGCTTTTTGGCTTATTGCTTGAAATGCCCTGTGTTAGCGGCTATTATATATAAGAAGCCAAGACCATCTCATGTAAGACCTCACGAACCGTGCCGTTCACTATGAAGTTTAGAAGCTGAGGGTCGTTAGGTCCAAACTTCAAAGTGCCCTTCTTTTTTTTTTTTTTAGTTCGAATATTTTTTCCGTTCCTTTTTCCTTTTCTTTTTCCCTACCAAATGCTATAATGAACAAGCCCTCCTTACAATATGCGATGGTGCGATTTTCCATATAAGGCCACCCCCCCCGACAAATAGTGAACGCATTATTCGGGGAAAATAATGATAATAATATAGATCAATCCCCCCCGCGCATTTCCATGTAAATGCTCTAATGCGCTTTACAACACTGTGCGGGGGACTTCCCCCCCCTGCCGGCGGCAGTTTACAATTAATAAAGGAGAAATTTTTTACAGATGCCCCCTCCCCCCCTTCCCAGTAAACAGGCCAGACCGCATCACAGTAATCTCGTGATGTGGGTTCTTTAACGTCCCTTGCCGAAATTAACTAATTGATAGGTGCAGGAGACGGGACCTCCGGCTTCACGTCCTATCCGAGAAGAAGAAGCAATGTGAGTGAAGCGTCTTGCTTAAGGACACAACGTCAAGCCCCAGCCAGGACTTGAACCCGGGCCATCTGACCTAGAGTCCAGCGCACTGACCACTGGACTACTCACGCCTCACAAAATCGGCTAATTTGTCAAATAGTCGCAGGATTCGAGTAAAGGAAACCATGACTTCAAAATGCTATTTTTCACAAAGATGATATGTCTAAATAATAAACAAATTACTCGATTTTATGTCAAATACGAATATTCCTATTAAAAATTTGCCAATTCCACAATCCCTGTGGCGGCTACGAAATCATCCACAAACTGTCCAAGAACCATTGTAACTCGCTTTACTGTTCGTTACCAGTTAGCGTGTGTCCTCTCAGGGTCCGGACTATTTTTATTACGTTCTTCATGATTATACTTCAAACTCTACTTTGCGTCAAAAGTTCACAGTAGAGAAGAGGTAGCAAGTTGATCTATAGACTGAGCCTTCTTTTAGCTTTCACGCATGACCGTAATGATCAGTTTTCCCAAATAATAATTACAACGTCATTTGATGGTATTTGATTCCTATCTAGCAGAAATTAAAAGGGGAAATGGCAAGCTTGAACTAATGTGATTGTCTCCCTACCAAATAGCCACAACTTCACAACTTCTGTAAAGTTCGAGAAAGCTTGACCCGATAGCCTCGCTTTCGTGTGCACTAATACAGGAAGCCGCTGTCCAACTACACCGCGCACGCAGAACTGGAAAAAGGGCTATTTGATTATGACTGAGAAAAAAATACAATATTGGGGCTGAATACATACGAAAGTTTATTCAACAAGGTAAGCTACGAACGATAAATAAACGAAGACCTATCAAAATTTAGGCTCTATTTATTCATGGCACTCAGCGTCAATTACAGAGCCATTGTGTAACTCAAAAATTCTTTAAAAGGCGCATGCTCTTTTTCTTCCCCCCAGTCAGTAAAGTCCATGTTTTTTTCCTTCTAGATCTTGTTCCTGCTAGTCATCTTCCTCTGGTTCTCTTCACGAAGGAAATATTTAGCAGGCAAAAGTAGATTACGTTTACCTTTCCTTTCCAAAAGTTTAAATCAGACAAACCTGCTTAGTTCCCCATGTTACTTAATAACATCGCACGACAGTGTAATTCAACACTAACAATTTTAATTTAAGCTGTACTTTTTCNGACAATCCGACGAAATATGACCATCAATAACATCTCCTAATTAAGGATTTGTTCTTGAAAACACACACCCTCGCCTTCTTTTTTCAGCTAGAATTATCAATGAATGCCCTTTATTTCAAAACTTTAGAATTGAGCTTTAAATTATACATGTGTCAGTTTTCGATCTGGTTTCCGTGCCGAAAGCAGTTGGAAAATCCCAAAGGACGCAATTTTCGAGGAACTGTTGTGTATATACATATGTGATGATTGAAAAGCTCCAAGCCCAGAATAGAAAGGCGATAAGAGAATCTGTTTTGCGATAGTCTGTTATGGCTGACCAAGTTTTCTGTTGTGGCTCTTCACATCCTCTTAAGAATCCTGTTTGTCTTGGCAAACAATGATTTTTGTGGAAATGTTTTTGAGACTCAAGCCGAGAAGAAGAAGCAATGTGAGTGAAGCGTCTTGCTTAAGGACACAACGTCAAGCCCCAGCCAGGACTTGAACCCGGGCCATCTGACCTAGAGTCCAGCGCACTGACCACTGGACTACTCACGCCTCACAAAATCGGCTAATTTGTCAAATAGTCGCAGGATTCGAGTAAAGGAAACCATGACTTCAAAATGCTATTTTTCACAAAGATGATATGTCTAAATAATAAACAAATTACTCGATTTTATGTCAAATACGAATATTCCTATTAAAAATTTGCCAATTCCACAATCCCTGTGGCGGCTACGAAATCATCCACAAACTGTCCAAGAACCATTGTAACTCGCTTTACTGTTCGTTACCAGTTAGCGTGTGTCCTCTCAGGGTCCGGACTATTTTTATTACGTTCTTCATGATTATACTTCAAACTCTACTTTGCGTCAAAAGTTCACAGTAGAGAAGAGGTAGCAAGTTGATCTATAGACTGAGCCTTCTTTTAGCTTTCACGCATGACCGTAATGATCAGTTTTCCCAAATAATAATTACAACGTCATTTGATGGTATTTGATTCCTATCTAGCAGAAATTAAAAGGGGAAATGGCAAGCTTGAACTAATGTGATTGTCTCCCTACCAAATAGCCACAACTTCACAACTTCTGTAAAGTTCGAGAAAGCTTGACCCGATAGCCTCGCTTTCGTGTGCACTAATACAGGAAGCCGCTGTCCAACTACACCGCGCACGCAGAACTGGAAAAAGGGCTATTTGATTATGACTGAGAAAAAAATACAATATTGGGGCTGAATACATACGAAAGTTTATTCAACAAGGTAAGCTACGAACGATAAATAAACGAAGACCTATCAAAATTTAGGCTCTATTTATTCATGGCACTCAGCGTCAATTACAGAGCCATTGTGTAACTCAAAAATTCTTTAAAAGGCGCATGCTCTTTTTCTTCCCCCCAGTCAGTAAAGTCCATGTTTTTTTCCTTCTAGATCTTGTTCCTGCTAGTCATCTTCCTCTGGTTCTCTTCACGAAGGAAATATTTAGCAGGCAAAAGTAGATTACGTTTACCTTTCCTTTCCAAAAGTTTAAATCAGACAAACCTGCTTAGTTCCCCATGTTACTTAATAACATCGCACGACAGTGTAATTCAACACTAACAATTTTAATTTAAGCTGTACTTTTTCGAAAAACTGAGAAAAAGGGCAAAAGTGAGAACCAGGTAAGATAAATGTCTTCGTTTTAATAACATGCAACTGAAAGGTGTCGTGGAAAACTACACGGCTACGTTTTGTGTACAAAAGCGATGAAATATTCTGGTTTTGTTTGTTTGTTTTTTTCTCGCCCCATTTATTCCAGGTCTTGTCGCAAATCTCTTCTCGTAAGATAAAGTGAAGAAAGTTCAACAAAATGCCAATACGAAGCAATTTAAACATACCGGACATTAATTTCCTGGGAATGAATTAATATTGATTTATTATTCACAGACTTGTCTTGGCGAGAAGCTCATTCAATAAACAAGATACAAGTTCAGTGATCTTGCACTTCAGCAACTATTAAGTAATGAAAAAGACCACCGTCTTTGATACCATTTCATTATCAAGTTGAGTGATTCCTGGCTATTTTTCAGTTCCCCCTCCCCCCCCCCCTCCCGGATCGCCCAATGCCGTGTTGCCGCATGTTTGGTGTCTGGTTCCAAAATTACGCCACGAGCGAGGCTAAGTGCATAAAAATCCAACATGGGCGCTACTGATACTCGTTTAGACAATGCAGCAGGCGAAGATTTCTCAAAATACAAGGTTGATGGTTTGAAATAGTAGTTAAAAGAACGTGGCATTCAATTGGATAATGGAGGTATAGGGAAAAGGAAGGCAGAGTTGGTCGATTTGTGCGAAAAAGCGGCAGAAATGAAGCAAGCGAAGCTTGAAAATACTGTCAAAGACTATAACAAGCTGCTCGAAGAGAAATTACAGACTGAGGATGGTAAACTGCTTGACCCGAAGACCTTAACGGCTTGGACCAACAACTTTTCGGATATCCCGGAGTTTACGTTCGGAAATTTGTGCAGCTATCGGGTGGAAGAGAGGTATACTCTAAGGAGTACTTTCGTTCTTTTAAAATTTTGGCACAGCTGACTCAATAACTTTACATTCACCATTCAATTTTCTTTTGTAAGATTCCGGTAAAAAACGTGCACTGCAAATCTTCAAGTTGTTAGGCTCACCTGCCTTTTCTTTCTTAGCTTCAAGTGCAAACTCTTTGTCTACTTTACGGCAGAATTTTAACCGTCTCGCATCCAACGGAAAAGCAAAATACGAAAGATCTCGACAATTATGATTCCCATTTGTGCAGCAGGCAACAGAACCATAAACCATCCTATAAACAAAGCGATTAAGCGAGCATGAAATGTTCCTTGTGAGCTTTCATTTTTGGCGCCATCAAGCAGCACTTCGCACTTAACCTCGCTCTCGTGTCACAATTTCGGCACCAGGGTTCTATCATGCGAGAACTCGGAAATGGGCTAATTAAAAGATGTACGTATGGAACCTACTTCAGTTTGTTCCCTCAGCGCTCTACCGATGTCTGTTATTATGTGGCGCAATTAAACAAAGGCGCAAATATAATTGAATGGAAGGGGAGACACATGTTTTCTTAAATATCAAGTTGTCCCAAAATCCTGAGGAATAAGAACCAAAAATGATTTAAGTGAACAATATTTTGTATACCCTTGAGCATCTAGGATGAAAAACTCTGTAAAACCTGTTTATGAAGAGTGATTATCGTTGCTAAACCAATAGAAAAATTTGAGCGGCCACAATGCTTATATTAAAAGTGCTCTCTTCGGTTAGGAAATAAAAGATATGGTTTGGTTATATTTTCTTATTTTCATCAGTTTGTATTCTTGAAAAGATGTTAGCATGAACATTTTGCTTTTCCTTTTCAGTTACGTTAATTCCTTCGTTTGGAAGATTTCATTACAAGCGTCGAGTTATTTTTAAAGGTGAATGGATCACCTGTTTAGACATGGCTGATGCTTCACATCGATTTTGATTTGAAATCACCTCAGACGTATGTTGGTTCGGCTATGGAAAATTAAAACCTTAGGGCTAAGCAACCGGTCTCCCGGTCTATATAGAGGGATAAAGGCTGGTAGTTTCGAAAGAAACTGTTTGGGGCTGCGTCGGTGGGGGTAACGAAATAATTTGGATATTTAGAGGGAGTTTGTTATGTTGTAACAAAGTATTTTTTGGTGTAAAATATCATAATCAAGCCTTGGACGTCAGTTGTTCGTTCTGAAAAAAATCTTCACCACGCAAATGAGATAAAATGGAGGCGCGGTGGCCTCATGGTTGGTGCGCTCGACTCCCGATCGAGTGGTCCGGGTTCGAGCCCCGGCCGGGAAATTGTGCTGTGTTCTTAGGCAAGACACTTTACTCTCACAGTGCCTCTCTTCACCCAGGTGTATAAATGGGTACCGGCAATTTAATGCTGGGGGAAACCCTGAGATGGACTGACATCCCATCCAGGGGGAGTAGAAATACTCCTAGTCACTTCATGTCACAGAAACCGGAGTGGCCCATTAGCACCGGCCTAATGGGCCACTAGGCTCGTAAACAGACTTTACTTACTTTACTTAAATAAGATAAAGTCATCTCTTGAGCCTTTTTCATCTAATAAAAGTGATGTCATCTTTGGAGAGCTATCAAATGACTCGGTCCATGTACATGAAAAGCCAAAAGATGAATAATACCTTAAGATGAATAACTCAAATCGATTGTCAGAAAATATGGTACAACCTAACACCACTCCTGTTACTGCTGTTTTTCTTCGCTTTCAAGCTTGGGAAAATTTTTGGGAGCATAGATAACAAAAATGCAATATTTAAGTTTTGTTAGTCTTCCAAAAACTTGTTCTGGCTTGATGTGTTGTTAAAATGTTTTGTTTTTGCAAATTACGGTATGAATCCAGAGACAGTAATCAGTTGTCACCTTATGTGAGTTCGCAGTGTTGTTTTTTTCCTTAAAATGTGAATGTTTTCAGAGACAATATGCAAGAACTGAATTGAAACGTGCTATTTTGTTTGCGATGTTATTTTGGGATGAAGTTGGAGTCCAAGTTTTACGAGACGATACGATGTAATTGTCACAAAAATAGAATGCTTTTCAAAAAGATAGATGCAGTTTGACGAAACAAAAACATGTCAGATTCGTGCAATAAACATTGTAAAATGTAGAACACCAGGCACTTCCAAATCGCTAGTGAATAAGCGGTTAATAATGTTATTCACTTAAAATCAACTCTTTCTTGATGGTTTTCCAAGTTGTTCTTTTGGTAATGCGTGTCATAGAATTCACTTTAACAAAAAAAACCCGCATATGAAGTCTTAGATAACATACTTTCAAGAGCTGACTATTTTGCAATAGGACAAAAAGATTCAGCAAAATTAAATTTGTCAAGGAAGGCATGTTATCGACATATTTCAATAAAAAATGTTTTCCGACAAAATCTTTTCAAGAAGCAACGATCTTTGAGATGGGTCATCAACCAAGTCTCCAGAGTTTGTGCAGAATCCTTCCGCGCTTAATAACTTGAGTTCGTTCTCGGGTAGGTCAAACAAGAACTTGGCTCGTAATGTAAATGTCGAGGCTTAAGCTAGATTGAATACAATTGAGACTCTTCGGTTGACCGAAACACTAGTATTATCCATTACAGGCATGCGTAAGAATGCAGGGTACACAGCCGTTGGAAGTTCGCCGTCTTTTCCTTAAACTTTCTGTTGGCAACTCGAGAGATATCATTTGTAGAGTTATTCTTGAAGATTGCTTTTAAACTGAATAATTCATTGAGTAGTCTCGCGGTCACTTTCCCACAAAAAGACTGAACTCATTGATGATCCTCGTCTCTGCTTTGTGAAAGAAAGGAAACCATGTATTTTGAAGAAAACAATAACGCAATCAAGACAAAAACGGTGGTGTTTCACTGACATTCGATACTTTCTAATGCTCCATCTGCTAAATTTCAAAACATTGGCTATTTAGCATTTAAGGGCTAGTTGTCGGTATAATAGAAACAAAGAGTCAACATTGACAAAGATAACTCGCGATTAAACAATGGACTGGTGTAAACGGCAAAAGTTATTACTCAATCTGAAATCCTAACAGGCTCTTATACCGTCAGTAAACAATTTTCTCGTCACGGTAACAATTTGTCTTCCGGGCAGTCGAAGCAGTTGAAAATTTGCTTTGATGACTTTATGCAAATTTTCTGTGGGTACCTAATCGCTTTGTAGAAAAACAAGAAAACAGATTTTGTTTACATTACGTAAGTTAAAAGAACTTCACCGACAAAAAAATACCCTCTTAGCGGAAAATCGCACAGACACAAATACGCAAGACTTGAGTGGGTTTCTTATGAACCAACACTCTCCTAACACGAAGATTGTATTTGAAGCTTTAGGCATTCAGTGGTTTTTTCCTTTTAATGTCGATGGAGTGACAGTGAAAACGACCGCTAAGGAGGGGGGAGGGAAAGTAGGTGGAAAAAAGTAGTAATAATTAATTTCCACCAAGTAACTGGCGAGGCAAATCCGTGATCAAATTGCATCTCCTTCGCAATTATGGAAATTAGAGAACGAAATGCGCCATATGTTGAAAATTTCTTCCTTGTTCATCTGGTGCACATGAAACAGTTCTGCCGGAACAAGTGAGTGTGAAAATAGACATATTCAATCCCTTAAATACAAAGTAAATGCTTCTGATGAACTACCACATAAAAAATACCACTGAATACTTTTCCCAAATTCTTAATGGCGTTTCTATCAAAGTTAGGCTCGCTACATGGAACTGGGCTGCATAAACGTTTTCATATCAGTTTCCAGGAGGCTTTCACCCTTCAATTTTCACTGAACAAAAAGGCTACCATGATTACTTTCCGAGCGATTTCTGATACGGAGGGAAACTTTCCTTTTGAAAGGAAACACTATCACCTAAGTACACAAATAGAAAGCATACATTTCGAAAAATAGGATTCAAAGTTGAATTTCATTTAAGATTTTTGTTCTCAGATCGTACACATTTGAAACATTGTGACCTTTTATCACCAGTATATCACAAAGATATTTTACGAGGGCCTCAAAAATTAAACTCAGCGTTAGATTTTACATTGGAGCTACCCTCCTTTGATATTATTCTTCTTCTTATCCCTTTTAATTTGCCGCGAGATACACCCTCAAAGACAGGTTAGATTGTCAGCTAAGGAAAAATGACCGGGTCTTCGCCAGTGTTACCTGGAACCTGGTGCATATTCGGTCACGAGGTGCATCTAGATCTATCATGGTTCATCTTACCGTATTGCTATGTTTCGATGTTTTACAAGCCTTTTGGGCTTTCTGGTTTATTGCTAGTAAAGCGCCATGTCAGCGGGTATTGTATGTAAGAAGCTAAGACCCCATCATGTAAGACGCCGCGAACCGTGCTGGTCACTATAAAGTTCAGACACTGAAGTCACCTATGTTTTTTTTTTTACTTCGAATATTTTTCCTTCTCTTTTTTCTCTCTTTTTTTATTCTACTAAACGCTACAATGAACAAGCCTTCTAATACTACACGATGGGGCGATTGCCCATAGTAGGCCTCGCACCGCGTTAGATGGCGAACGCACTATTCGGGGAAAATCGGATAATTTGTCAAAAAGTCGCAGGGTTCGAGTCAAGGAAACCATGATTTCGAAATGCTATTTTTCAGAAAGATTACTTGTCTAATTAAGAAACAATTCACGAGATTTTTGTCAAATATGAATAAAAAATTGCTAAAGTCACAATCACTGTAGCGTCTTCGAAATCGTCCACAAACTGTTCAAGAACCAATGTTACTCGCTTTTCTGTTCGTTACAAGACTCAGCTGAACTGGATCCTCCTTAATGAATATTGCCTATAAATAGAAAAAAAAA